GATTATTATTCTTACTCCATCAGTTCTTGTTTAGTAAATCAGTCTCAAAACAAGATCAAAAAGACTTTTTGGCTGGATATAAGGTTTTAAAACTTGGTAAGATGGGACAGTTTTTGCAGTGTATTTCTTGTCCTTTCTCCACATTTTTATTACTGTCGCCAAATCATCATTTGATTTTGACTCTCTACTGTCCACAGAGCAGCAAAAGTGCCACTCAAAGCATTTAAGCAGCAGTAAACAAGCATATTGATGTACGAGCACAAACATCCACAATCAACTATGGCTCAACACTGTTTCTATGTTTATCATGCATATTTTCACATGGAGGAAATATTACACTTCAGCTACTGTTTGGATGCAATCATTTTCCTCTGACTACTGGTTTTGTAACCATCAATTTTACCTGCTGAGAGAGAGACAGAGGTAAATATAGAGCAAAGAAAAAAATGGAAAGGCAYGGGTAAAAGTGATAGATGTAKGTACCGTCATGAAGGTATGAAGAGAAAGAGGATGTAATTAAGAGAGTGGGTGTAGGAGATGGAGGGAGGATCAACAAAACAGTGAAAAAAAACAGTAAATGGATGGAGTGAATGTGTGATAGGACGAGAAAGAGAGTTATAACATTTTAAAGCACAATTAGGAKAGACAAGTCTAACTTCATCATTTCTCCAAGGCAACATTTTTCACCATAAAAAAGCTAAATCATAGCTTTATTTTTAAATCATTTTTAAACACACTCAAAATCCCACACTCTTTCTCCGCCGCTTGTTCACACAGAAATTATTAAATCAAGTTGATTACTCATTTCGTCGCTTTACACTCCTAACAAGTGCTCAAAAACACAAAATGCAATTAGTGTTAAGTATAAACTTTACTCGGGGGGGGCTCAATGGATACTGCCATGTATCAGAATTAATGCTCCAAACATATAAACAAATACCAAATAATAAAGGAAATGATTTTGAACTAAGGCTGCTAGTCATAAAGACACTCGGAAATTAATCTGGGGACTTTTAAATCACAATTTCAATCATATTTTCTAGGGATGCACAGATATGATACCATGTCCCCTCCCAAAAGAGAAACAAAAAAAAAAAAAGAAGTGGGAAATCAATATTGGAAGTTAATATCGGCCCAGTTTTACTTATCTGACCGATAGCGATATTCTAAAAAAATGACCAACATTGGCCGATACCGATGTTAATGCTGATATATCGTGCATCCCTAATATTTTCTAATTTAAAGCGTTAGAAAGTTTGCATGTTTTTATCCAGTGGAAAACAAACCAGGAGTTTGGATTCACTCAGAAAAACATTGCCTTAATTATTATTCAACACATCCATGTTCAGATTTATCATTCTGAAGCGTAACATCATTTACAAGGTTTGAACAAAAATGTCTTCAACTTGTTTTTTAACACGAGACTATCTCAATTTAAAACTTTGGCACGAAAAGCACAGTGATTTATCAAGGATTGCTAAGGTTTTTATTCACAAATGCAACCTGAATCCAAACAAGTACATACCTTTACCTCCGCCAAGGAGGTTATCTTTTCAGTCGCATATGTCTGTCTGTGGACATAATTACTCAAAAGCTTTTCATGAAATTTTTTTACCACAGGTGGATATTGACCAAAAGAACACACCATTAAATTATGGTGATGATCCGGATCACGATCCGAATCCAGGAATTTCTTTGAAGGATTCTTCACTATTGCAGGATACAGGTGTCAAAGTTCTTCACACTTATTTTTCTCACCTCGATAGTGTGAATATTTTGTTGAAAATTTAAACTGTAATCTTCATGTTTATTCCTTTGAAAACTTTTGTTATATGATACCTTCACTGTATGGGCACAGAATATGTCTGATTATATTTGGAACGATGCTGTGTTATGACATTGATTCAGTATCATTGATCTGCATGTGTTTTCTACGGAAGCGTAGAGCTGTCACATGACATGAAATTATTTTTAAACTGGATCTCGTTATAATGAGAAAACTATCTCGTAAAAATGAGAAAATATGTTGTTATAACGACAAAACTATCTCGTAAAAACAAGAAAACTATCTCGTAAAAACGAGAAAATATGTTGTTATAATGACAAAACTATCTCGTAAAAACGAGAAAATATGTTGTTATAATGACAAAACTATCTCGTATAAACGAGAAAATATGTTGCTATAATGACAAAACTATCTCGTAAAAACGAGAAAACTATCTTGTAAAAACGAGAAAATATGTTGTTATAACGACAAAACTATCTCATAAAATGAGAAAACTACCTCGTAAAAACGAGAAAATGTGTTGTTATAACGACAAAACTATCTTGTAAAAACGAGAAAATATGTTGTTATAACAACAAAACTATCTCGTAAAAATGAGAAAATATGTTGTTATAATGACAAAACTATCTTGTAAAAACAAGAAAATGTGTTGTTATAACAACAAAACTATCTCGTAAAAACGAGAAAACTATCTCGTAAAAACGAGAAAATATGTTGTTATAACAACAAAACTATCTGTAAAAACGAGAAAACTACCTCGTAAAAACGAGAAAATGTGTTGTTATAACGACAAAACTATCTCGTAAAAACGAGAAAACTATCTCGTAAAAATGAGAAAATTTGTAATAATGACAAAACTATCTCAAAAACGAGAAAACTATCTCGTAAAAATGAGAAAATTTGTAATAATGA